CCTTCATGTACAGCGACGGCCAGTCCGAGAGCATTCTGGGCGGCCTGGGCCTCGGGCTGGGCGGCGGCGACTGCAGAGGTAACTTGTACCTCCCCTGCACCGTGCGGCGCCCAGCCGGCCCCAGCCACGCGTACCCTCCCGGGCGCCGACCTCCCGGCATCTCCGTGAACGTCTCGCCCCGGACAGCCGGACAGTGCATTGTCCTGATCTCCTTCCCCTCCCCTTCTCTTTCCTCTGGGGGTTGCCTCTCAGGAACCCCGAGTCTTACCCTGAGCCTGGTCTAGTTCTTCGCTTCCTCCCAGCCTTGCTTTCTTGGGGCACCTCTTCTGCGGGCACTGGTCTCCAGAGAGAGCTCTGCAGTACCCCCTCCAACCCTGTCGAGTGCCCCAAAGCGGGGCCCCAGTAGCTCTACCTCCTCCCTCTCCCCATTGCCCTCACGGCCCATGGCTCTCTAAGCACCCTCTTCTCATCCTGGTCTTTCATCAGTCCCTAGACTTTGCTCTCTTTAGTTGACAGTACCCTGGCTCCCAGAGAGAGCTGCAGCTAGACCACAGAGCAAGCTGGGGGAGCAGGGGTGGAGTGGGGAGATTCGTTATGGGGCTATAGGAGGGAAGGTGGCTCTGACCCACCCACAGGGAGCTTAGAGTCTAATAGGGAAAGTTGAAGCCCAGAGGAGGAAGCACTTTGGGGGATTATGGGGTCAGGGAGAGGCCCATGGAGGGTTCAGAGAACACTGGAGCTGGGCCTTAGAGGACCAATAGTAATTTACTGGGACGATAATAAGAGAAAGGGGCATCAAAGGCTGAAGGTACAGCTGTGCAGACCAGGCTTGGAAATGCAGTGTCTGGAATGTGGAAGGACGGCCAATAGACAGGTGTGGCTTGAGTGGAGGATGTTTGTGCATGGGAGGGACTGCCCTTCATTAGCCTGATGCCATTGGATGTGCCTAGGAGGGTACCTGGCATGTGGTGAGGCCCAGTAAACGTTTGCTGTTATTTTTACTACCTTACTCTTCAGGAGCCCCCTCTGGGCCCTCCTTGGATTCATAGCTTGGTGGACCTGGAGGAACAGAATGGGAACCTGAAATCAGACCCACGCTTTCTAGTTAACCTGCCTGCCCCTCCTTAACGATGAAGGTTTTGTTTCTGAATTGGTTTTTCTCCTCCAGCCCTTCCCTGCTTGCTTCGTTGAGTACAGGCATTCACTGAGCCAAAGTCCACAGGTTGAACTTGAGGCAAAGTTCACACCAGGAACACAGAGGATTTGAGAAATGTAGGGAAATGGAGACAATGTGGACAAGAAGCGGTGGGACTTATTCCCTCCCACATCCCAAGTAGTCTGGTGACTCCCCTGTGACCTGGTGATTTGCCTTTGCCCTGTGTGAAAAGTGCAGAATCCAGCCAGTTAAGGCCCTTCTGAGCTGCTTGTATGGCAAAACACTGTCTTGTTCTCTGAGTCTGAAGGGGAGAGAGATCTGTAATCACCTGCTGCCTTTGCCTTTGACCTGTCTCTCAGATTGAAGTGTGCCAGTGATGCCTGTTCGGGCAGCTCCGTCTCTCCAGGGTTCTTGAGGCAGCCTCTTGTCTCCTGTTTCCAGGCCCACCCTTTTAGTTGTCTCCCGACTACAGACACAGTGAACATGGCTGCCTTTGGTGGATGGTATTTGAGAAAACCATTTGTGATTAGGTCTGTGACCCTTCTCTTGTCCCATGTCCTGCCGCTCCCTGCCTGGAGTTGATGCTCTTAGAACTCAGCATTGCAGGGATGGCCCTCCACATACTTTTCTTTTCTTTTCTTTTCTTTTTCTTTTTTTTTTTTTGGCCTGTGACTTTGCCTGCATTCCCACGCTCTGGAATGTGCTTCCTATCCTCCCATGTTGGCTGTGACTCATTTTTAGAGACTCCGCTCCTGGGTCATCCCTATAGGAAGCCTTCCTTGGAATTCCCAGAATGGCCACAACCCTGTACTCTGGGCTCTTTTAGCACCAGGTGCTTATCTCTACTGTGTCATAACATCACCTTTTAGACTGTGAGCTCCTTGAGGGCAGGGAACAAGCGTGCCTCTAGTGGTGGGCCTGGCACAGCCAGCAGTTTGGTGACTAATAATAGTGATTAAAGCAGCAGTGAACACTGAGAACTTACATATTTAATGCTCATGATCTCCCTATGAGACAGTTCCATTGTTCCATCCCCATCTTACAGATTAGCAAATTGAGGCTCAGAGATCTTAAATAATTTAGACAGGGTCACACAATAAGCCTCTTAGCCATTGCATTCTCTCCTCAAAGTGAAAATCGCCACCAAGGCCAATCCCTGGGAAGGGAAATCGCTGAAGCCTGACAGTCTCCGGACCCAGCTGGAGACATCACTGAAGTGGCTGCAGTGCTCCAGGGTGGACCTCTTCTACCTGCATGCCCCTGACCACGACACCCCCGTGGAAGAGACGCTGCGTGCCTGCCACCAGCTACACCAGGAGGTGAGGCCAGCCTCTGAGCTCCAGGAAGTGGTCTGCCGGTCCTCTCCTTGGCCTGCTGTTACCCAGGAGAGTGGAGGCACCAGGGGAGTCCCAGAGCAGAGCTGGGGGCAGACCCCGCTCCCGGGGTCCCCACCCCTGTCTCCCCTTTCTAGAGTCCTGGGCCATGGCAGCTTCTGACTGAGGCCTCTCTTCTGCAGGGCAAGTTTGTGGAGCTTGGCCTCTCCAACTATGCTGCCTGGGAGGTGGCCGAGATCTGTACCCTCTGCAAGAGCAGCGGCTGGATCCTGCCCACCGTGTACCAGGTGAGGGCCAGGGCTGCAGGGCCCGTCCGAGGGGCTGCTGCTGATCCCGGGTTCCCCTGGCCCCTCCGACTGCCCCCTGTGCCCTCTCCCTAGCAGCCACTCCCCTGCTGACAGCCTGTAGAGGGCTGCCGGGTGCCATGGGGATGAGGGGCAGGCTCCTCAACTTGACCCACGGGCACCTGTTGGCTCTGGCCCTGGCTCCCTTCATGGCCCGCATGTGCTCCTCGGGCCCTTCCTTCCTGCCTGTCTCTGTGCGTCAGCCTGGACACTCCTCCCCTTCTCCCTGGTAGAAGTAAGCGCTCAGGCCCCGCTTAGATGGCCCATCTTGATGCCCCAGAGGAGCCTCCAATATCAAGACTTCATCTCCATGCATTCAGAGTGTTTGTAAGCATCTACTGGGATCACAGAACTCGCCTTTATTCTGTCTTTATCTGTGTGTATGTGGGGGTTTTTCTTGTAAAGAAGGTTCTTTTTTTTTTTTTTTTTTAATGTTTGTGTATTTTTGAGAAAGAAAGAGTGAGCAGGGGAGGGGCAGAGAGAGGGGGACAGAGGATCTGAAACAGGCTCTACGCTGACAGCAGTGAGCTGCTGCGGGGCTCGAACTCATAAACCGTGAGTTCATGACCTGAGCCGAAGTCGGATGCTCAACCGACTGAGCCCCCCAGGCGCCCCTGTGTGTGTATTTTTTTTAACTGAAGTATAGTTGACACACAATGTGACATTAGTTGTAGACGTACGACATACTGATCCCGCTAGTCTCTGCGCTGGGTTATGTGCATCATAAGCGTGGCTACCACCTGTCAACACATAACGCTGTACGTACTGTTGCCTGTATTCTCTCTGCTGTACCTCTCGTCCCTGTGACTTCTTCGTTGCATAACCGGTACCCTGTATCTCCCGCTCCTTTTCATCCCTTTTTGCCCATCCCCCACCCCCTCTCCTCTGACAACTGGCAGTTTGTTCTCTGTATATGTGGGTCTGTTTCTGCTTTTCTGTTTGTTCATTTGATTTTTAGGTTCCACGTGTAAGTGAAATCATACGGTGTTTGTCTTTCTTTGACCTATTTCACTTAGCATAATTCTCCGTAGGTCCTTCCATGTTGTCACAAATGGCAAGATCTCATCCTTTTTTATGTGGCTGAGTGATACCCCGTTGTGTATATGTACCACATCTTCCCTTCTGCATTCATCTATTGACAGATACTTACTTCTGTGTTGTTGTTTTTTTCCTTCTGTGTTTTGAGCTTGACTCTAACATCTGTGAGAGGCAGAGGCAGAGACCTGGCTGGACTTACTTGTGTTCGGGAATGCAGCGTCCAGCCCACGGCTGGCAACAATAGATATTTGTGCAATGATATAGCCAGTTGGGTTTCCCTGCCTTGGACCCAGCCCGTCTCCCCAGCCTCTGCCACCACTAGTGATTTGGGAAATCACTGCTGAGGTCCTGGGCAGGTTTTGACTGACAGTTTTAAACATATTTTTTTTGATGCTTATTTATTTTGAGAGAGAAAAAGAGACAGAGAACCAGCAGAAAAGGGGCAGAGAGAGAGGGAGACGCAGAATCAGAAGCAGGCTCCAGGCTCTGAGCTGTCAGCACAGAACCCAATGTGGGGCTTGAACTCACGAACCGTGAGATCACGACCTGAGCCGAAGTTGGACACTCAACCGACTGAGCCACCCAGGCGCCCTTTGACTGGCAGTTTTAAAGTTTTTTTTTTTTTTTTTCAACGTTTATTTATTTTTGGGACAGAGAGAGACAGAGCATGAACAGGGGAGGGGCAGAGAGAGAGGGAGACACAGAATCGGAAACAGGCTCCAGGCTCTGAGCCATCAGCCCAGAGCCCGATGCGGGGCTCGAACTCACGGACCGCGAGATCGTGACCTGGCTGAAGTCGGACGCTTAACCGACTGCGCCACCCAGGCGCCCCATGACTGGCAGTTTTAAAAGAAGGCTGGGGTCTCTTCCCTGGACACAAGCACCCTCTCCATCTGGCTCTTCTGTCTGCAGGGCATGTACAACGCCACCACTCGGCAGGTGGAAACGGAGCTCCTCCCCTGCCTCAGGCACTTTGGATTGAGGTTCTACGCCTACAACCCTCTGGCTGGTATGGGCTGCCGTGTGGACAGGCTCCCCGTGGGCGGGAGGGCATTCCCGGCCCCTGTGTCTGCCTATTCCTGACATAGTAGATGCCCGGCCCAGGACCTGGGAGGCTGGGCTGGGTCCTCCGGCTCTCCTGGGTTCCCTGCCATCCCACCCCTCACGTCCAGAACGGCCTCTGGGAACAGTGCGAGCCAGCAGATCTGATGGCAGTCTTCCCGCAGGGGGCCTGCTGACTGGCAAGTACAAGTACGAGGACAAGGACGGGAAACAACCCACAGGCCGCTTCTTCGGGAATACCTGGGCTGAGACCTACAGGAATCGGTGAGCTGGGGGTGGGCTGCGTCAGGATGGTGGGGCACGGGGTCCCCCTTATCTGAAATGGAGAGCTTCTACGCTGCTTTCCCGGGGTCCCACGTCTTCCCCGCTGCCTGGACCTACATCTCCTGAACTCTGGTGCTTCTGGTGTTCTCTGGACCTCTGTGAATAAACGAGGATCCCTGCCCCTTACACCGGGCCTTCCAAGTCATAGCTTTTCCCTGAGAAGTGCTTACCACTTGTCAGGAAGGAAGGAGCGAGCCCTGGGTTGACACTCACGGGGCCTGGGGCCGAGTCCTGCCCCCCACTGTACTGGTCACCTCTGCTTCACTAGGTAAGGTAAGCGTAGGGCAGCTTTACGAGTTCAAAAGAACTCCTAAAGAGGTTAAAGGTGGGGTCTCTGGTGAGGTCCCTCTGACTGCCTCCCGCGCCCAGTCGTTCTGCTGCCCGATAAAGCGGAAAAAACACTGGTTCTGCTGCCGGAGAGACGCTGGTCCCTCCTCACTGCAGAGTTAGGTGGGCACAGCTGCCGTGCTTGGTGTTTTGGCTGTAGCCCCGCTGTGACCCCATGTTATTGACCCTTGTGCCACCCCCTTCACCTGTCCAGCTTCTGGAAGGAGCACCACTTTGAGGCCATTGCCCTGGTGGAGAAGGCCCTGCAGGCCGTGTACAGCCGCAGCGTCCCCAGCATGACCTCGGCCGCCCTCCGGTGGATGTACCACCACTCCGGGCTCCAGGTAAGCCGCCGTCCTGGACGTGCTGCTACTGCCCTCTGAGGACAGCCAGACTTACCCCTAGGTGACTTCTAAGTCGCTTCTGCTGCTTCTTTTTTTTAAGATTTTATTCTGGGGGCTCCTGGCTGGCTCCGTCGGAGGAGCACGTGACTCCTGATCTCGGGGTGGTGAGTTCAGGCCCCTACGTTAAAAAAAAGAAAGAAAGAAAAAAAAAAAAAGATTTTATTTTTAAGTAATCTCCACAGTCACTATAGGGCTCGAACTCACAACCCCGAGACCAAGAATCACATGCTGCCCCCACTGAGCCAGCCAGGCACCCCATCTAAGTAGTTTTTTCCTCCGAAGTTTCTTTCAGCCCCATCCCTGATGGTGAGCGATTCTTCCATTGTTCTTAGTGGATGTCTCAGCCCCAGACCTGGGATGAGAGCTTCACAAACATGTCTTTAGTTAGTACTTAGGCCTTAGGAAGTGTTGTTCTCCATGAGGGGATGGGTTCACACAGCCAGGAAGGGGGCAGAAAATCAAACTCATTAGTCTCACTCTGTGGTGGGACCTCGGGTTTCCCCTCTCTCTCTTGTGTCCCCTGTCTTCTCAGCTAAAACTTTTCTCCTGTATCAGCCTTATACATACAGTTGCACCGGTCTGCCGTATATATGGTAGTTCCTCAATAAATGGGGGCTAAGCGCTTTACATAATTTCTCATTCCCATAACCACCCTGAAAATAGAGAAGACTGAGTCACAGACAGGTGAGGTAAGTAAGCCAAGCTTACACAGCTGCCGGGTGGCAGAACGGGGGCTCTGAACGTAGGTCTGTCCGAGGATGAGCAGTATGACAGTGGAGGGAAAGGAGACAGGGTTTGGAGTCACGTAGTTGAAATTGTGGAAGGCGCCTCAAGTTCTTTGCGGAACTGTGCACGGCGTAAATAAACCTCAGAGCCCGAGTCTCGGCAGGGGCGGGGCTGGGAGGGCGGGCGTGTGGCTGGAGTCACTACAGCGCATGAGATGTTCACCCGCGGCTGTCTCCCCTTGCAGGGTGCCCACGGGGATGCAGTCATCCTGGGCATGTCCAGCCTGGAGCAGCTGGCACAGAACTTGGCGGCAACTGAGGAAGGGCCCCTGGAGCCCGCCGTCGTGCAGGCCTTTGAGCGAGCCTGGCATCTGGTTGCCCACGAATGTCCTAACTACTTCCGCTAGGCCGCATCCTGGCCCGAGCTGCCAAAGGTTTCTCTCCTTTCCATCACATCTTCTGTTCTCTCACCCTGACCAGTCTGCCTTAAGTTGATTTAGTGTGGTCTTTTTGATTGTCTGGATCAATGCGTTATTTTTCTAGATTCCCATCTGGTTCCTAGTTGCCCTCAGAATGTGGAAACGCTGGGGCTGTGGTCCCCTTGGGAAGTTCCTGTCTGAATAAAGCAGGCACTTGACCTGGCTGTAGCCCAGGCCTTGAGTAAACCCCATGAACCTGTCTCCTTGACTTATTTGCGACCAGTTTTCATCCTGCCTAGGGGCTTCCTGCGAGAGGGGCAGAACCATGAGATGGAGTCTCCGGAGGGCAGAGGTACAGTGCAGGCTGCCCTCTCGAGGGTCTCCCCTGTCTTCTGTCCCGAATCCAGCCTGAACTCTCAACAGCAGGTTTGAGCTGGCCCTCACTCTGCTGTACACAAAGGAAGAAAAGTAGGCCATACACCCTGAAGGGCATTTTCTCTTATTCAGAATCTCCTCATGAAATGGAGGTACTTAGAATCATCAAGGCCAAAACCTTCCATTAGAGTCTCCGCCAAGAAGAATAAAGACGCTCCCGGGGAACCTCCTAAGATGCTGCGGAACATTTTTCGCAAACTCAATTTCAGGAATGGCTTTACTCTTAGTGAAAGCATCCTGTCTCCTTGTCATCTGTAAGACACTCAGCCTTAGCCCTGGGTCTCGTGCTGCTGGAAGTGTGGCATGGGCAGCCAGGGGCCCCGTTTCCCTCCTCCAAGCAGGAGGCACCCAAGGCTGGAAAAGAAAATCCCAGGTCTGATGGCTGGGATTTGAGCATTCCCGGTGCGGAAATACCGGTTTAGCTCTGGGCAAGGGAGGCAGCAGCAGAAGTCAACACTCAGAGCTTGCTAAACGTGAAGTAAGGAAAGGGGCTTAACTTGGAAATTCTAGACCAAACCACCAATCAGGCTCTTTGTCTAAGAAATGTCCCATTTGTCAGCTAGAGGGAGACACAGACAAAATGTCATTCTCTACAAAAGCAGTCACCCTTCTTTGTCTTCACCTACAATAAAATGGATGGTTCCCAGGCACCTGGGTGGCTCAGTAGGTTAAGCCTCCGACTTCAGCTCAGGTAATATTCTTACAGTTTGTGAATTGGAGCCCCTCATCAGGCTCAGTGCTGTCAGCACAGAGCCTGCTTCCGATCCTTGTCTCCCTCTCTTTTTCCTTTTCCCCCATTCACAGTCTCTCTCTGTCTTTCAAAAGTAAATATTAAAAAAAAAAAATTTAGGGGCACCTTGGTGGCTCAGTCAGTTAAGCATCCAACTTTAGCTCAGGTCATGATCTCGCAGTCCGTGAGTTCCAGCCCCGCGTCAGGCTCTGTGCTGACAGCTCAGAGCCTGGAGCCTGCTTCTGATTCTGTGTCTCCCTCTCTCTTCTGCCCCTCCCCCACTCACACTCTGTCTCTCAAAACTAAATAAACATTAAAACAAAATTAAAAACACAGGTGTGTAGACTTTTGTGTGAACATAGGCTTTCGGGGAGTCATATGGTAAACTTCTGTTTAATTTTATAAAAACGCAATGATCTTTTTTAAAGGTTAAACAAATGTGTTTTGTATTCACCCACGTTGACCACCTCCAGCACCCCTCATGTTTTGTGTGGGTAAATTCGAAAATCGAATTCCTTCGGTCTACAAATACTTCTAACAGTGAAAGTTTGCTGTGGATGCTCTGTCCCTCTGCTTGTCTGAACAGAGCCTTTATTTTGCCTTCATGTTGGAAAGGTATTTTCGCTGGGATAGATTAATCCGAGGCTGACTGTCTCTGCTTGTCACTCCACAGGGCCTCTGGCTAAAGCCTTTGGCAAGTCGGCACTGGAGGGATCACACACCCACTTCTGGGACCGCACGGCGGCGGGACAGCACCTGGCGGCGGGACAGCCCCGAGGGCCACATTCCCCCAGCCAAGGCCTCTCACATCGGGACACTTTAGCGCGTAGGAAAACCCCCTCCGGAACGACGCCGGGCCCCCGGAACAGTTCAGGGCGAGGGGAGGCCGAGGGAGGTGGGGAGACGTGGCAGCGAGGCCCCAGGAGGGCCAGCCGTTGGCCTTCGGGTTCGCTGGAAACCCTCAGAACTAGCTCAACCCTCCTGACCCAGGGCCGAGACCCGCCTTAACCAAGTGCACGCGGTCCCCAAAGCCCTGCCCCCTTCGGCCTCCGAACTCCGCCCCCAACGCCGGTGGGCGTGGCCCGAGACACCTCAGAGCGGATTTCGGCTGGCTCTGACTCCCGCCGCCCCGCGACGACAGCGCTCCACGCCCGGGGGCGCCAGAGTGGCCCGCCGCCGCCGCCGCCAAGTCCCGGCCCCTGTCGCCGCGCGGGCCGCTTCGGGGGCCCCGGCCTGACCCGCCACAGTGCTGGGCACCTTGGAAATGGGGCGCCGCATGGACGCCCCAGCCAGCGCCGCGGCCGTGCGCGCCTTCCTGGAGCGCGGCCCCACGGAGCTGGACACGGCCTTCATGTACAGCGACGGCCAGTCCGAGGGCATTCTGGGCGGCCTGGGCCTCGGGCTGGGCGGCGGCGACTGCAGAGGTAACTTGTACCTCCCCTGCACCGTGCGGCGCCCAGCCGGCCGCAGCCACGCGTACCCTCCCGGGCGCCGACCTCCCGGCAGCTCCGTGAACGTCTACCTCCAGACAGCCGGACATTCTTTGTCCTGACCTCCTTCCTTTCCTCTTTTCCCTTCCGAGAAGATCGTCCAGGACCGTCCCTACAGGAATGTCCCATCCAGGTCAGTCTGGGACACCTTGGTTAGCTCTTCTAGGGGGCACTGAAAGGGTTGGAATCTGGCGTTGTGCAGTGCCTGCCCCCTTTCCCGTCCCCGCGGGTGTCCTGTGCCGGCTGATCTGCCAGAACCCTGCCCCTACTGTTCTGGCATTCCCTGGCACAGCCCCGGATCAGACTTTGGGACGGGTGGGAGATCTGCATCCTCCTTGCTCTGGGCCCTAGACTTTGCTCTGTGGAGCTCGGGGTGCCACGTTCAGTCGGCAGTGCCTCCCACTTCACGAGACTGGCAGTGCCTGGCAGTGCCTAGCAGCTGCGGTTACTCAGTGGGCAGAGTGGGCAGGATGGGAGAGGGGAGGTGGTAGCGTTTCTAACTGCCCTCCGTGCTAGCCTCTGAGGTCATAGAAGGGAAATTGGCACTAACCCAGTCCAGGGAACTAGGATTCCAGAGAAGGCTGGGGGAAGCCCACAAGAGGGAGCATTTCCCCAGGGGCTGTTGAAGAAAGCTCAGGAGAGGGAACATTAGACACTGAAGAACTGATAGAGTCCGCCAAGGAGTAAGAAGAGAACAGGCGTCCACACGGTGGGCAGCGGGGGTGCCAAGGGAGTGCGATTTGGCAAAGCCAAGGGTGTTGGAGCAGGCAGATGTAGCTAAGTGGAGGGTTTGTGTGTGGGCAGGGGAATGTCCATTCTCGGTCTGATGCCATGTGAAAAGCTTTGGGCAGTGCTGGGCGGGTACAGGGAGGGCTCAGCGATACTGGCTGTTACTATCAGTAGTGTTATTAGGACACGCGCTGTGTCACTCAAGCTCTTCTCCCCTCTCATAGAGTCTTGCCTGGTTTCTCCGGTGATTCACAGCATGCTGGATCTGGAACAAGAGAACATGCCTGCGTCTCGGTGCTCATGTTTTCCAGATCACCTGGTTGCCTCTCTGACCGCTCTGGTCTTATTCCTGAAGGTGTTTTCTTCTCCAAGCCCTCCTTCTCTTCCTTCTTTCTGGTCGGAGCTGGCTGGGCCAAAGTCCTCAAACCTCAGATCCGAAGTTTAATTCACTTGAAGAACAGGGAGGGGCAGAGGGTGAGGAGGTGAGGGAATGAAACTTTTCCAAGTGGGCCATCCTCTATCCCGCTGACTGCCCTCCGGTCAGCTGAGCTGACTGGCCAAGCCCCAAATGTGCAGAGAGGGCCCTCCTCCCACCCATCAGTCCGGCCACCCTGGATTCTTAATGGGGGCTCGAGAGAAAAGTATGTAATGAACCTGACTCAACGCAGAAGGCACGGGGCTATTTCTCTGATGGGTTCCTGCGTTTCCTTCCCCGGGGCCCATGCTCCAGCCTCTTGCCCCTCTTTCCTGATTTCCTGCCATGGTCCCCTTGCTGGTCTTCCTGGTTCCAGACCTGCCCGAGGCTCTTTATCCATGCTTTGTTCAGATTCATCCTTCAAAACTGCAAGACCGTCCACTTAGCTCCCCAGCTGAAAGGTGTTCAGAGGCTCCCCGTGGCCCTGTAAAGTCCAGATTCCACAGGGTGCTCTCAAGTCCCTTTGCGTCAGGTCTGCGGGCCTTCTCTTGCCTCGTGGACCCGCGTGAACCCGGTGCTACAGATCCCTGGAACTGCAGGCATGGCTCCTCTGTTCTTTTCCTCTGGGCTTTTGCCCTTGTCCTCACCCTCTGGAATGAACTTCCCACCCTTCCTCAACTGGCAGCTGCTGACTTCTCCTTGGAGACCAAGATTCAGATTCTAAAGGAAGCTTTCCCTGAACTCCCAGGGGGCCTCATGCCTCTATGCTCTGAGCTCCCCTAGCACCTTGTACATATCATTGCCTCACTTACTGTGTAGTAGCCCCTTAGACAGTGAGTCCTTGAGGGCAGTGACCAACTGTTGGCTCTACCAGCCCTTAGTGCCTGGTAAATAATCCATCATAGTGATGACAATGAGCACGTCCATTCAAGTTCTGATCAATCCTTGGGACCACCATGCAAGATAGTACCATGGTCACTACCAGTTGACAGTTGAGAATATTGAGGCTCAGAGAGGTTAAGTGACCTGGCCAAGGTCACAGAGCTAGTAATGGCAGAGTTGGGATACAAACCCAGATGTGTCTTAGCCATTACGCTAGACTCTCTCCAGTGTTCAGCAGACTGGTTTGAACTCTAATTTTACTCCCCCCAAAGCAAAAGTCGCCACCAAGGCCAATCCCTGGGAAGGG